ATGTTTGACTGTGGGGACTGTATTCTTTTCTTCAACCACATTCCGTCCATGGCCGGACGGGAGTCTGCTAGGAGCGGGAGGGCGTCTTAAGACGTCCTGCCCCTCCCCCCTCTCGTGAGAGGGAAAACTGTGAGCATGTAAACAGCCAGCGATGGCTGTTCACATACAAGCGATCGGGCGTCGCTTGCAGGAGCTGCGGGTGTGCGCCCCCCCATACCTATGTCCCGCCGTCTCCTCGACGCCGATCCCGTAATCCGGTGCGGCTGGGACCGGCACGGCGATGCTCTAACAGCAGATCAAAGGGAGATCCTTACTCGATCTCCCTTTGATCTCTTTTCCTGTCCCCGAATGCAGGAAGTGATTACGTTACATCACTTCCTGCATTCAGTGTCACTCTCCGGTGCAGAACACCGGAGAGGCTGATGAAGCAGATCTCCGCTTCATCAGTTTCTCTGGGGGTCCCTAGGTGACATCAGAGGTCTTGGAGACCCATGATGTCTCCATAAAGAGGACCTGTCTGGTGAACTGGCTATTACATAGGGGATTTCTTAGTCCCCTATGTGATAGCAATAAAGTTAAGTCTAAAAAAATGAAAGCATTAAAAAAATAAAGAGAGCTAAAAAAATATTCACAAATAATAATAAAAAAATAACACAAAATTTTTTTTAAAGTCCCCCGCCCCTTCCCCCACATACGCACGCAAACATGCGTCGGGTGCACCTATGTACGAAAACGATTGTGGCCATTATGCAGCACATGTTACATATCGCCACGAACGTCACAATGAGGGCAATAGTTTTAGGGCCAACAATCACTGATAACACTAAACTGATGAGCGGTAAAAACGTTTAAAGCGTCGCCTATGGCCAATTTTGGGTGCGGTCGTTTTCTGCGATTTTGCGGGCGCTCGCAATTTTAAAGATTGAAAAGTTTAGTGTCTATTTACCCAACGTGACCCCGTCTTTTATATTGTACCAAAAATTGGGGCGATAAATGTTTTATCATTTAATATAGGGTAAACAGTTTTTGTTTTTTTTAATTTCGGTAATTTTTCCTTAATGTAGTAAAAAATTGGGGCGATAATAAATGTTTCATAACATTTTATAGGGAAACATGTTTTTTTTTTTTCAAAATTTAGGGTACTTTTTTGTTAGTAAAAAATAAGTGGTGAATAAATGCCACCAAAAGAAAGCTCTATCTGTCCCCAAAAAATGGTATAAAATTAATTTTAGTACAGTGTTGCATGACTGAATAAATGTCAGTCAAAGTACCGCAGCGCTGAATACTGAAAAATGGCCTGGCCAGGAAGGGGATGAAACACCAAGGTCTTCAAGTGGTTAAAGGCCTTGTTTCTTTTTCTGAAAACTATAATTTTGTTTCGTCTGTCCACAGCACAAAAGGATTTTGGCTTCCTCAGATAAGTTTTGGCAAACTCCAATCTGGCTTTTGTTTGTGTCAGCAGTGGGATCCTCTTGGGTCTCCTACCATAGCGTCCCTTTTCATTCAGATGGCGACGTATAGTGTGAGCTGACACAGTTGTACCCTGTGCCTGAAGTCTAGCTTGAATTTGTCTGGAAGTTGATTGAGGGTCTTTATCCACCATTCGAACAATCCTTTCTTGCAATCTTTGATCAATTGTTCTCTTTTGTCCACGTCCAGGGAGATTAGCTACAGTGCCATGGGCTGTAAACATTTGACAATGTTGCGCACAGTGGACACAGGAACATTAAGATCTCTGGAGATGGGCTTGTAACCTTGAGATTGTCCATGCTTTTCCACAAAAACTTGGAATGCAATTATTTTTTGCATTTGGAGAAGGTGCCAATTTTGTCCAGTCTATTTTTTTGGAGTTTTGCGTGGAATGTATCAGATTTGGCTTTTTTTTTTTCGCCACTTTTTTTTTTGTCATACCAATACAAACAAAGGAAATAAACATGAGAAGGTCAGCGTTTGTTCAGACTCCCCTGGATACCCGTATTATTTCACCTAAGGTCGAGTGAACGAATCAGCCTTTTATGTCAATCGACAGGACAGGATGGAACGAAGTTTATTTGATCACCGTTACTTCGTAGCAGCAGTGAAGTCTGTGGGAATTTAAACCGAGACCGAGAAAAGCCTGCGGGCTGATGCTGCTTCATCTCACAATCTGTCTTTTAGCCCAGTGTGTTTCTGACACATCAAACGTGGGATTCCACCTTATTCCATCTCGCTGTGCGGCCGCACATGCTGGAAACAACCCCCGGATTCCTTTCTGGATCGGGCAGTGTTTGATACCCGCGGATTAGTGTGAGTTCAGACGAGCTGGGGGTGACGCGCTCATCAGAGCCTCCGGACTTACAAGGAAAAGAACTGTCCGGAGTCGCAATCCCACACAAGGATATACTTCATTGAATTAATTCATCCGTGTTTAAACATGGGACCCTACAAGGACTGTCCCTCATCGTAAACCACACAGGATGTGAGTACGCTCTGACACTTTGTATCCATCTTTAAAACACATTTTCTGTGTTTATATTAGTGACTATTTACCACTGAGGTGGTTCCTAGATCATCACTCGTACCATTTCAAGTGGGATATCCAGGGGATGTCATTTTACTTGTTTTTAGATGTCTTGTTATAGTGGATCCTATGTGTAGTTATCTTTTTTTTTGTCATTAAATATTGTCTTTTATACATAATTATACTCTGTGTCACCTGTTTACCAGACCAGCTCCAGTAAAGGGATTTCTTTGTCTGGGGGATGCCTTTTATCTTGAAACATGAGAATGCCTAAACATTTGTAATTGCAACAATTTTTTTTCCGCGAAGTGGTGCATTATCTGACAGAAATGCAGGGGTGCCAATATTTTTTCCCATGACTGTACATAGTTGAACGCACATCACATAGTACAACCCCCTCTCATAAAAAAAACATTTTAATTCCAGGTTGTAATGCAATAACATGGGGGAAAACACCCGGGGGTTTCATACTCTCAGACGGCACTGTATATTGTACGAAAGAAATCCAAATGGTAGCAATATTTGTGACTTAGGCATTTTAATGTCAGAGTTTTGAGATAAAATGACAAATGCACTTAAAGGTCAATTTAGTAAGCTTTATGAGTTCTTTTAACCTCCCTGGCGGTATGATTATTCAGGATTTTAGGTACCAAAAGCGGTACATTGTTTTTCAAGCAAATATGTTGTTTTACATTGTAGGCCTGTAGTTCTTAGTAAATCCTAGGAATAACTCACCTAAATCTGTCCAAACAAGAGTCCAGTAGACATCCCAGGTATGATAAAGTTTGAAACACGAAATTAAAAAATTATAATATAATAAATTATAAATAATTATAAGAAATTATAATATAATAAATAATTATAAATAATTATAAAAAATTATAATATAATAATTTAAAAAAATGGTCCAGTAAATGGGAATTCTGGGGGCGCAGCCTGATCCGTACCACAGTCAATAGAGTACCAAGTTCACACATCACTGAGCTCGGTCGCAGAATCGTCGCTGTTTTAGGTCAAAAGCGGTTTTAGACCAGGTAGAAAACAGCGATAGTAAATTAGAACTACTTGCAGAATTGAGTGATAGCGATTCGTTGGGAAATTCCTCAACAGACACTGAAAGTGAGGACAGCGAGGATTCTGCGACCGAGCTCAGTGATGTGCGAACTTGGTACTTTATTTACTGTGGTACGGATCAGGCAACGCCCCCGGAATTCCCATTTACTGGACCATTTTTTTTATTATTTTATTATAATTTTTTATAATTATTATATGATAATTTCTTATAATTGTGAAAAAGTGTCAGGCAGGGCAGTGGACAAAGCTCTAGGGACAAAATTGAAGTGAAATAGTTTGATATATAAGTGTAATCATAGCAGATTACATTGTATTGTGTGTATTCTGTGTACATTACAACTTTTCACTTTTGAATTTCGCCGGCTGTGAGGCTCGAAAACGAAACTAAAAGTCAGATGCCGGCTTTTAGTTTCATTTTCGAGCCGCGTACAGCAGAGGACGCCGCGGGATCGCAGGGACAAGGTGAGTGTCAGTTTTCTCTGCAGCCCCGAGTCTGGCTCGGGGTTACCGCTCCTAGCATTGAAAATTCACCCCGAGCCAGACTCGGGAATACCGCCAGGGAGGTTAATAAAAGACAGCATGGAAATCTTTTAATGTAGGGATTTAATGGGGCCTTTTAAAGATTGGAAGCCATTGGCCACATTTCCTGGGGTTTTTGCTTGCCTTTGTTTGAACCAAAGCAGTTGAAACCATTTTAAGGTGAACTTAAAATGGTGCCTGTATTTAAAGTAGTTATCTACATAGCTATTAAACATTGAAACACCAAAAATTGAACCCTAGAAATCTCAATTCACCTGTGTATGAAGTCTCTCCTAACTCTGAAATGCACATTCACTGGTGCCATATATTATTGAATGAATTATTCAAGATACAGGGATTGTGTATGTGTAATGTATACAATTGATTAAAAGATGTTTAAAGATTGCGTTTTTGTAGATATTTGTCAAACAATCTGTCCAAGACACAAATACTTTACACAAAATTGCCTATTTCTTGAGGCTATTATCCAATATCTGTAGGTAGTTTTATCATTGTCGGTTCCCTAGCATCAAAAAGGTTTCCCACTCACTCCTCCACTGTGGATACGCTGGCTGTTTGTGAGTGTTCCATCTCCCTCTACTCTGTGTACAGTGCAGATATGACAGTGCTGCCTGGTGGTGGTCAGAACAGTATTTGTGCGCAGGCACGCTGAAGTGAAGTCAAATGCTGTCTTTGCATAGTTTTGCAAATAAGTCAAAAAATCTACCTCAACTTTGTTGTCATGGTCACTATCTATTTTCATGATTGCTAAGTATTTAATTGCTTTTTAAAGAAAACTAGAATTCTAAAGCGTCCTTCAATATTTATTGCTACATTCCTATTTGCTTTTTTGGATTTGTTTTGTTATGTATTTGATGGACTTTTTTTTTTTCTCCCCCCTTACTAGGCATTACGTGTGATGGCTAAAATAATGCGAGAATGTTGGTATGCCAATGGGGCAGCACGACTTACTGCTTTACGCATCAAGAAAACACTATCACAGCTTAGCCAGCAAGAAGGCATAAAGATGTAGTTGATTACCCTGGACTGAATTACAATAGATTTTACCTATTTGGTAACCTGATCTAAAGATTCATTGTTCTACCTCGCTGAGGGAACGGCCCGCAAATGCTGCCTTTTTGAAACTTCATAGGATACATGTGAAGCTCAATGCATACATGCAGCAAAGAGAGTAGTCCACGCTAATGTATGTTGTAATCTCCATCTTCCCAGAACATTTCGTAAATGTGTATTTAGTATTATTTCTAGTACCAATGAAAATGCTGGGTTTTTTATATATAATTTATCAATGCACCTCACCCTAGTGCCATGTTAATGGTATTTTTTTATTTTGCTGTACTGGTGCTCTTAAATTTTAAGTTTCTGTTCAGCTTATTTCACATATTCAAAGCCTTTAAGTCATATTGCTCAAATACCTCGTGCTGTTTTCTGGACATCTCTTATGCAAGTTCCTTTTATATACAGTACAATACTACATGCCTTCAAAAGTAATTGTATTACCAGTAAGTGCCACACAGTTTATGTTTTATGTACACATTTTGTTCTTCGGTACTCTATATTATGCAACATTTTTGATATACAACAAAAATATTAAGTCAAGGTTAAACATCATTCCAATTTCAAAATGGTTTTTGCATATGGTTATCCTAAATTCTCTGGTGAATCATCTAAAACAAAGTCCTCCTAAAATGTATATTAGTTTTGAGTGGACATAACTGGGGAGGGGGGGTAGTATTAAATAAATCTTAGGACATGGTATAGTTTAACATCATTGGTCTGCATTGTCAGTCAAGATTTTGCTGCATGTGGGAATATGAGTGGATGGGAATAGAAGCTGTGCCTATTACAGATCCAATTTTCTGGTGTGCACCCAAAATATATATTAGTTTTGGTTGGACCTAAACATTCATCATTTGACATATATTGTTACAGTTATGTTGTAGATTTGCACATTGTAAATTATGTTTATCTTCTTATATGGGCAACAAGATAATGGCACAACATAAGGGCATAATGATCACTTTCTGAAAATTATGCCTGGGGTGGAGGGGGTTTGGGGGTGTAAGGAAAGAAAATATTTCTATGCACAAGACAAAAGCCACCTCAGTGTTCCTAGCACTTGTTGGCGTTTCTTATTTTATCTTATGTTCTGCGTTTTTCAACTGTTTTCCAATACAGTTAAATGTTTATGAAATCATGTATTCATAAACAAAAAGTGAATATGCTTATTATACTACCTACATTTAGCACCAAGTGTAAAAGAATGCAATTACGAACTGAATGCCTAAATGCATTTGTCGATGTGTTTAGTGTCTACAACTGGTTACTGCGTATATAGCAAGAGCATTGCAGTTAAAGGCTAAAATTGCAGTGTTAAATGACCATAAACCACTAACAACTGCTTCTATATCAATTTTTCCAAAAATGAGGTTCACTGATTGGCGTTACTAGTGTTCAGCCCTCTGAAAACGTATGCCTACTGTGAATGTGTTGCAGCTAGGACATTTATTTTGGATTATCAAGTATATTGGAAAAAACAATAGAACTTGATGTATCCTTTTAATAGGAAAGTTCCTAATGTGCAAAAAAGTTAAACCCATAAGGTTTTTTGATATGGGACTGTCGAACCTTTTTTTGTAAAGAATAGTATGGTGCAGAGAGCTTATCTAATTTAAAAATGGTGGTTACAAAACCCATATTTGGCACTGAGGGGACAAGTTTGTTTTGGCATGTGGGTAAAAAATGTATGTTTATACCAAAAATTAGAACCTATGCAAGTTTTAGCCATACTCCCATTAACCGTCGCAAAACAACAACAAAAAAAAGTTAAAACACAAACTGCTGTGTGATATGTAGCGATGCAGAACTGGGTTTTTTTTCCCTCCATTTTTATGCATATTTGCCTTTTTTGTATTTTCATGTGATAGTTTTAGGGTTTTCCTTATAGTAACACCTTCAATTCTTCTCAAGGCCAGAAAAGCTGAAATGTCAACATTGACTGCACAGTGACATATTGGCTTCCTCCAAACTAATCTTGGTGTCTCATTGCCCCTAGTTTATTTCTGTTTCCATAGGGGCCTTGTTCACACCAATCGCGTTCCAGGAGCAGAGCAGATCTGTTACAGACCAGATCAACACTGCATCCAATGTAGTCAAATGGTATTTTGGGCTCTAGTTCACACCGCAGCATTCAGTTCCAGAGCAAGTAAAAAAAAAACTACAGCAAGCCCTATTTTACCTGCTCTGAAACGCATCTAAAACGCATGCAAACACCCTGGAACGCACTGAAAGCCCATTTTAAACAAGAAATTGTTGTTGTTTTTATTTACCAAAAGGCCCGGAACGCATCAAAAACGCAGCACAACCCACTGCACTGCGTGTGCAGAAACCCATGCAGATCTGGTCTGCATTTGGTGTGAACAAGCCCTTAGGCATAGTTGTCATGATCTTAATGCAACATGCTTCACTGATTCAATTGTAGGTGGGTTGTAGAAACCAGGTTCTGTAAGAACACATTGGTAGCCTGTGCAGATAAAGAAAATTATGTTACAAAGGTTTTTTCTCGTTCATTTTTAAAATATAAAATGGGGTAATTTTTTATTTGCAGAGTCAGTAGCAACTGGAAGGAATTGTCCCCATCAACACACTACCGAAGGGAAAAGGGAGGAGGCCTTTCTCTTCCTTATTAGGTGGAAATCCCTTTTTTTTTTTTTTTTATCGATAGGTGTGAAATAACCGTTTATTGAATTAATAATTTGCTTTAAAAATAGTGCATTTTATAGGTTAAACCACCTAGCACCATTACAATTTCAATTGTTTTTACCGAACAGTATCATTTTGTGAGGAATTCATTTAAATTCCTGTTTTTTATGAGTATGATTGAATTATGGAGAAAAATAAATAATCATAAGTTTTTTTTGCAGAAGGGCCAATATTTGGTGCACCTAGGATTATAAATGTATTTTTTACAGAGTTTTTATTACACTAGAGACTTGCACCATTCGGACACAAGACATTCATAGTTATATAGCATTGCTAATTTGTGACGGGTATCCAGTGACAAATTTTAAGTTGTGCAACATGGTGAAGTCTAATAAAAAGGTAAAAAAATGTAAACATGGTTATCAATGTATATTGGCACATGCAGTTTAAATATTTTGAATAAGGCGCATTAGGTTTTCAGGCTATCTGGACCAATTCTAAAGTAAAGTTACCAAGATATAACAACATGCTTACAATATAATTTTAAAAACGTATTCAGTGTTTACAGTTGTCTCTTAAACATAATTGTTACATCAGCATTTTAATAGCTAGAAAATTTATATTTTTTAATTTTGTATACAAATTGCTCTGCATTTGGGATCTCATTGTACATTGTAAAATCTATACTATACAGTTTTAAACCAGTTTTTATTTTCATCATTTCATAAAGACATTTTTGGGCTGGCAATAACACAGTTGATTGCATGCGCACAATACGTTTTAATACACCTAACAGAGATAACTTTTAGAAAAACATACAGGTATTGGCTGTGCCATGAAACTCGTGCTGTTTATACATCCTTTTGTGCCATCCTGGTTTTAAAGCATAGTGACATCCTTTAAACAAATGCAACCCCTCAAAGCCATCAATTATTGACACACTTGCAAGCTGTGAGCTGTTTTCTTGGCTCAAAATGGTTAAAAAGCTTAAGGTATTTTACCTCCTGTAAAAATGTTACATAAATGTACAGTTTATGGAAATCATCATTCAAAATGTTTTATTGGATATGTATTGTTTCTGCAAGTTTGTATCTTCTATTCCACTTTGACAGCCAGTACAATTTTTATCATAGGTGTATTTTAAATGATAGAGACTGAATATCAACCAAAATTCCACAAAAAACACATGATACAAATGTTATAAATTGAGTTGCAGTTCAGTGAGTAAAAAAAGTATTTTATCCCCAAGCAAAACATGACTTAGTACTTGGTGGAGAAACCCTTGTTGGCAAGCACAGAGGTAAGATGTTTCTTGTAGTTGGTTACCAGGTTTGCACACATCTTAGGAGGGATTTTGGTCCACTCTTCTTTACAGATCTTCTCTAAATCCTTAAGGTTTCTTGGCTGTTGCTTGGTAACTCGAAGTTTCTGCTCCCGCCATAAATTTTCTATAGGATTAAGGTCTGGAGACTGGCTAGGCCACTCCATGACCTTAATGTGCTTCTTGAGCCACTGTTTTGTTGCTTTTGCGGTATGTTTTGGGTCGTCATGCTGAAAGACCCATCCACAACCCATCTTCAGTGTTCTGGCTGAAGGGAAGGAGGTTCTCATCCAAGATTTTACAATACATGGTCCCCTCCATTGGCCACTCAATGCAGCAAAGTCAGCCTGTACCTTTAGCAGAGAAACAGCCCCAAAACATAATGTTTCCACCTCCGTGCTTGACTGTAGGGATAGTGTTCTTAGGGTCATCGTCACCATTTTTTTTCCTCCAAACACGGCGAATCGAGTTAAAGGAGAACTATGGGGGTCAGTGTTTTTCCCCATAGTTCTCCTTAGGGTAACGGGAGGACACAAACTAGCGTCCTCCCGTTACCCTAAGCTCAGTATACCGCGAGCTACAGCTCGCGGTATACTGAGACGCCGGAGCGGAACCCGACATAGACGTCGATCCGCCCAGCTGCGTGAGTGACAGCTGGCTCTGCCTATCTAGAGGCAGAGCCAGCTGTACCCTCCCCCGTCCGTTCCGCCAGTCAGCGATGGGAGAGGGGAATCCAGCCCCTCCCCCTGTCACGGCAGAGAGCCGTGATAGGTGAGCGAACCCAGTATGTGTTCGCTCACCTCCCGATCTACTGAGCCGACCTATGACAGTCTCATTGTCACAGGTCAGCTAGAACTATGAGGTGAGTGGAAATCACTCATCTCATAGTTCTCCTTTTAATGCCAAAGAGCTCAATTTTGGTCTCATTTGGTACTTTCTCCCAATCCTTCTCTGAAGTTTGCCAGTGAACATCTAAATGATTCAGACAGGCCTGTACATGTACTTTCTTGAGGAGGGGGACCTTGCGGGCGCTGCAGGATCTCAATCCATGGCAGTGTATTGTGTTACCAATGGTTTGTTTTGGTGGCTGTGGTCCCAACTGCCTTGAGATCATTCACAAGCTCTTCCCGTGTAGTTCTGGGCTGATCCCTCACTTTTCTCATGATCATCCTTACCACATGAGGCTAAATCTTGCATGGAGCTCCAGACCGAGGGCGATTGATGGTTAGTTTGTATTCCTTCCAGTTGCGAATAATCGCTCCAAGCTTCTTGCTGATAGTCTTGTAGCCCATTCCAGTCTTGTGCAGGTCTACAATCTTGTCCCTAACGTCCTTTGACAGCTATTTGGTCTTGCCCATGGTGGTGAGGTTTGAATGGAAGAAAGAGATTATGTGGACAGTTTGTCTTTAATACAGGCCCAGCGCTACCATATAGGCAGGTCAAGCAATTGCTTGACGGCGCCAGCAGGGGGGGGCTGAAAAATGCGACTGGCCGCGGCGGCTCTGATCACACCTGTCGGCGCTCCCTTATGCTAGAACTCATGTATTGGAGGTGACAGGTTCAATAAAGAGAACCTGTCCCCTCCAAATGCTATCACACAGGGACTTGTTAGCTAGCTCCTGTGTGATAGCAATAAAGTTAAGTATAAAAAATTAAATAAAAAAATTAATTCAAATTGATTAAAAAATTATAAACTAAATAAACATTTATGAAAAAATAATAATTAAAATGATAAAAGATAGTAAGATTAAAGAAATTAACAAATAGAAAAAAATAACAATTAAAGTGAAAGAGAATCCGATAAAAATTTAAAAAAGTAGGCAAAAATCCTTGCACCGGCCCTGCTTTTATATAAATAACGAGTTGTCATTAGGAGCACCTTCTTAAATTGACAGGACTAATCTGCGTATCACATAGCAGGTGTGTGGGAGCCAGAATTATTGTTGGTTGGTAGGGGATCAAATACTTATTTTACTCACTGAACTGCAACTCAATTTATAACATCTGTATCATGTGTTTTTTCTGGCTTTTTAGTTTATATTCTGTCCCTATCATTTAAAATACACCTATGATAAAAATTATAGACCTTTCAGATATTAGCTATGCGAATGTTAGTTTTAATATAGTTCAGTAGAATAAATAAAGCAATCCAAGAATCTTTCACAGAATTTTAAGGACATTATGCTTTGTGCAAGAAAAAATATGCTTTAATTCACTTAATGTTCCACCAAAATGAAAACCATAATAAAGACACCATTTTTTTTGGTAAATTAGTATTTATTGAAAAAGGTTTGCAAGAACAAATACAAGGAAAACATTACATACATCAACAAACCAGGGGAAACAAGCAATCACAAATGAGTCACAATACATACATCTGGACATGCCAAAGGAGTCACAATACATACATCTGGACATGCCACTAATTACACAGTTGTGTCTCTAGGATCTCGCACCAAATTAGGGAAATTTAGGTGATAAGGTGTGATTGCGGGAAAGTGGGAAGGGAAAGAAGGGGGGGTGAAGGGAAGGGGGGGAGGAGGGATGTAGGGCCGTGTCTCATACTGTTCAAAATATACATTATAGATCATAAAATAAAATATATAGGGCTGGTACTGATTAAAAAAAATTTGATTAATCGAACGCGAAAATTTTTAATCGATTAATTTCAAGTAATTATAACGCACATACAGACCCAACTACATTGGCCTATACACATACAGCAGTAATAAAATGAACTAGGATCACACTAATCCAGCACGTGCTGGATTAGTGTGATCCTAGTTCATTTTATTACTGCTGTATGTGTATAGGCCAATGCCTTGGCTGGTGCTTGTGCAGAACAAGTTTCTTGGGCAAACCTCTTAGTTGTAACGAAACCGGAAGTCAGGCGGTCGCAGAACTTTCAAGAACCTTTAACCCTTCAGAAGCCGGAAAGGACCAACGGCTTATCGCTCCACTGTCTGCGGGGGAAGGATTAACTTTTTAAAATAATAATAAAGGGGTCAGCAAAAGTAGTAAAAGCTCCAATCTCTGGGCAGAATGAGATTGAAACAATGGCCAACCAGCTCTCGTGCGGTTAAAAGGCATATTTCATTTTGTATACTACATTCTCCCGGTAGACTTCTGTAACTGTTTGGTTTTTTTTTTTCTTTCCAGAATTTAAACTCTTGATGCATTGAAAGTGACAATAATACATTCCACTTTGTGTTGTATAGACCAGTGGTGGCGAACCTTGGCACTCCAGCTGTGCCAAAACTACAAATCCCAAGATGCATCCGCCTCTGGGAGTTATGTCTGTGGCTGTCAGAGCCTTGCAATGCCTCATGGGACTTGTAGTTCCACAGCTGGAGTGCCAAGGTTCGCCATCACTGGTATAGACTATTCCGCTGGTGGGGAAAAAGGCTAACAAACTATCCATAGACACGGCATGGCATTTGGAAGATTCTGCCGTTGCTTACAATCATTTCAGATGGCCGCGTATATGAGCCGAGCAGACACCCCGGGTGCTGGTCTTAAAGCCTCATTCTGGCCAGTCACAGAATTATTAAAATGCTCACCTCCCCTATAAGAGTATTACTTCCCCTAATCCAAGGCCCTATGGCATTCCTCCACCACTGGTTCCGGTATTGAAGACTGGTACACTGAAGTCGCTTTTGTTGCTTGTCTCTGATTGGTTTTGCCGCTGTCGCAGTCACCAATGTCATCATTAACAATGTAGGGGGAGGAGTCCGGTGACCTCACTGACATCGACGTCACCGCACCCCCTTCCCTTCGTTAGCCGATGGAGCCACTTGGGGAAGGGGGGAGGAGTCCGGTGACGTCACCAGATCTCTGACTGGACTCCCGGAAGCCGGCGGAGAGGTGAGTTTTCATTTTTGATCGATCAAAATAATTTGAATCGATAAGAGTTTAACAATTAATCGTTAATTTCCACAGCCCTAAAAATATACTATAAGTCGAAAATCTTAAACCATAAATCCAAGTGCCGTTAGTCATAGTGCTTCTAGAGGCCATCCGCTATTGGCCAGGATCCCCTGGCTAGAACACCAAAGCTTTGTACCCCTATAATATGAAATTTACAGTGTGTAATGTATAAGCATAATGGCCACACGACCCTTAACTGAAACTTCTCACGACGTCCTCTTGGCGAGGTAAGATGGGGTTGTTTTATATGCTAACCAACAAGCCCATGTTTTTGAGAGTCGCTCCTTTTGATCCACTCCAGTGAGGGTAAGTTCTCCCATGCAGTAAGTCTGTTCCACCCTGTCCAACCATTCCGACATGGTGGGAACAGAGTCACTCTTCCATTTGGTGGGAATTAAAGATTTAGCTGCGTTCAGTAAATGTGGTGTAATAGAGCGAGCGTATTTGCCCATTGAACCCTCTGAGCCATGGAACAACATTTCCCAGGGATCCAATGCCTTGAATGGTAAACATTTCTGCATCTACCTCCTGCCAGTAGGGGATTATTTTAAGACATTGCCACCAAATGTGAGCGTGTGAGGCTATATGTCAACAACCCCTCCAGCACAAAGGGGACTCAGCTATCAATCTGGACACCCCCCTTAAGAAGGCCAACACACGTGCTCTACGTTTCTCGGTAAGAGGACTTTCCAGCTCCTCCCCCCACAGTGACAGATAAGGTGGGTGGGAGGTAGCTTCCAATTGCGACAAAGTCGCGTACAGTGCGGAAATACACCTGGTAGGAGCGGAGCCTTTGAGGAAGAGTAGTTCCAGTGGGGTCAGTTCTCGTCTGGATCTCAGCGGTGTAGGGAGCTGCTGTACGAAGTGCGACAGTTGCCTGTAATGCCAGGTATCCATAAATGATGGTCTGGGGGTGTTACATAGGGAGAAGGGTTTGAGCCTCATATCCTGTAGGACCTGGTGTAGTAGCGGATCAGAATCAGTTTGGAGCCACATGCGATAACCTCCATCCATGAGCCCCAGTGGAAAATATGTGTGGCCCAGTAAAGGCATAAGAGGGGAGTTGTAAGGCCATTTCTGTTTAGAGTGAAGCGCGTCCCAGACGGATAATGTCGTAGTGGTTAAGGGATGCGTGTTGTTTGATAACTATATTGTTTCGGAATCCAACCCACCCTTGGTAAGGCCATCTGACATGGCAATTTCCATCTGCACCCTCAATTACGTCTCCCCGGCGTAATTCCAATCTTTAAGTCTGGCCAAGGAGGCCGCTCTATAATACTTCCTGAAGTCAGGGAGGGAAACTCCACCCAAGGATTTCGGTCTGGTCAAGATCTTATAAGAGATCCTTGCTCTCCGGCCCTTCCATATAAATCTAGAGACCAAGGATCGTAACAATGCGAAATAAGAGGGTGGAACTTCCACTGGTAACATTTGGAAACGAAAAAGAAGTCTTGGCAACACATTCATTTTAATGGCATTCACCCTTCCCAGCCAGGAGTGGTATAGGGGGGACCAGCGTCTCAAGTCAGCAAGGATGTCATTTAATAGGAGCATGTAATTATATGAAAACATATCCCGTAGGCGGGGGCCGTGTAATTGATCCCCAGGCATTTCAACGTGTGCATTTGCCATGAAAATGGGAAGTGTGATTTCAATGCTCTAACTTCCTCTTTGGGGACTGTTAAGTTAAGGATGGTGGCTTTTGAGAGGTTAATTTTAAAGTTAGACACCAAATTATAGTCTTTAAATGCAGATAAGAGGTTTGGGAGAGAGATTCAAGGATTCCTAAAATAAAAGATCATCCGCATATTTGTGTTCTCTTGCACCTTCACCCCCTGGATGTCAATTTTATGGGTTATGGTGGATAGAAAAGGTTCCAAGGATATGGCAAACAGCAAGGGCGACAATGGACACCCCTGTCTGGTACCATTTCCCATGGAGAAAGGGGGGGGGGGGGCGG